CATAATATTCACTCAATAAACTTCCTCCAATACTATTTTTATTTGTTTTCATCCATATAGGTGGTGACCACGGTGATCCCAAAAGTTTTATATTAGGATTAATAGCTAAAATTTCTTTTAAAATAGGAATAACATGTAATCGATCATGTCCTAAATCAAAATGAGTCATATTTAAATCAACATCACCTGGTGGTAAATCATTATACGAAAAAACAACTTCATCTAAATCAGATGCACCAATACTAAGACGAAGATAACTGACACCTATATTATTCTTATCTGTATTAAATAATTCTTGTAAAATTTGAGCACGTGTTGTATTATCAAGATTATGCAAATGCATTGCACTACCTCCCGTTAGTGTGTAACCAAAACCATCAATTGTTTGATATGTTTCATTTTCATTGATATTAATAATAATATTATTGATTTGATTATCACTATTAGGTGAAATGAATGGTTGTTGTTGAAAAAGAATCTTTGCATCAGGATCTGTTAACCAAAATTCGATTTGTTGAGCATTTAAAATAGCATTAATGAGGAGGATAAATATTAAAGACACCAACATTTTTCTTTCAAATATAACCACACTTAAATCTGTCTTGTACTGTTGATATTTATAGTTTATTGATAATAATGATATTTATTTTAGATTACTGCAGATTTTCGTCTTTTATATTAATCTTTATGAATCCTTAAGGTGTATTTTTCCCTAGATATTGACTAAAACTTGATGTTTTTATTATGTTTTTAATAATGAAATATGACCTCTTCTATAAAGTGATTAAAGAATAAAGAACTTTGAAAAACAAGAAGCATCATCGTCGACATTTCGATTAACAAACTTTCAATGAGAAAAAAACATTTTAATGAAATGTCCATAGAAGTTGACATTATTTCAAGAGTTTTTAATTCTATCTTCTCTTGAATACAAGGATCAAATATTTCACCTAAATTAAGTTATTGTTTTTTTGTCCTATACTTTAAAGGCATGAATAAAACAATTATAGGACTAAAATTTATTCAATTACTTATTTCATGATCACACAAGCTATTCGAAGACATTTGATCGTCTCTAACTCCTTACAATTGTTTCTAAAAGGTCGAGTTTTGAAACTTCACATCCTACATATGTTTGCCTTACAGTGAATCTCTAATCAAAACGTATTCTATTTCATCAGTACTTTTTCGTGAACATATGACACTAAAACGCTCAAAATAAGGTTAAGCGAAGTCATATGCTACTTGATCAAAACCGTTTGTAAGCTATGATTCATGCTCTATTGTGTTTAAAAACTGTTTTTTTTTCTGACTGCAATACGTTCTTCAACTAAAGAGACCGCTCTTCTCGTTCCGGAAATGGTAATCGAAAGTTTTTCGTGCTACAAGTATTCTTTTCTATAAAAAACGGTCCCATCACATCGCTGAACGCTGTCAGTTTTCGATGAATTTAGTTGAAGAAAAAAGTTTTGATACTCATACGAAAATGTGCTTTTCTCGATATCGATTTTTGAAAAATACAAATAATGTTTTTCCCCATCGTCTCGCATATGGTACGTCCAACTGAGCTCACAATTTTTTTTGTGACTGTCTTGGTCAAATTGAGAAGCGTGTTTGTATTTTCTTCAAAATGTTGTTCCTCATAAATTTGGCAGTCTTTAAAAAATTAGTAACATGGAAAAAAAAATGTGTGTTTTGACGGTGTTTCCATATCATAAAAGAATTGCAGCTCGAAAAAATGTAGTATAAAGTTTTGCATGTGGTAAAACTTATGATCATTTTTCACCTTCGAGACTTCCAAACTTTCCTAAAGAAAGCATCTGGAAATTTCGTATCTATGATCACTCCTGTTCTAATTATGGAAGTCTAGCTGCCTTTGAAATTTCATAAATTTTTGTCGAGCTGTTCGTGAAAGGAAGGAATCTCTGAAAACAAGACTCTTTATGATTGTTAATTGAAGTTTTCGTTTCAAAAATGTTTCTATTATTAATTATATAGGTAACTCTTTTGCATTAAGTTTCTCTATTTTCTACGAATAGACGATTTCATCTACAGAACAGAGCATATGGTCATTATTTTCATCTAATGTATCAAGTGATAAAGCATCTGGAAGGGCAAGATCGATCCTTAAATTTCCCATTAAATCTTCTGGACATTTTCTTTTCTGAGTTAGACGATTGATTTTTATATTTTGATTAGTGTTAAAATTTCCCATAGGTTTACACATGTTTTTCATCTCGAATAAAAACATGTGCATAGGTAACTAAAAACAACAACACGTTAATGAAATTTGTAATCTTTTTGCAACTTTTTTTGTCGTCTAAAGGAGTGTTTTTTTTATTCTTAATGTAGGCAAATATTTAAAAAAGAAACAAATTTTATTTGTTCTTTTCTAAATATTCGTTTGAATAAGACGTTTCTTAACATCATTTTGTCACATCTCTATTCGAAGTTGGACCATTATTTGGCAAAGTTTTATTTAACTCTATTAAATTGTTATATATTCGTGTGAAATATGGCCACTGCTATTGCTTCCTCTTTCACTCACTGTCAAAATGTAGCAAAAGAGAATGAATGGGAATGTCAAGAAGAACAATATTCAGTAAGTCAACTGTTTGCCTCATTCCTATCATAGTTAAGTTTCTATTTGTTTGTAATAGCTTTGTCCGCATTGTAATTTATGGCTTTGTATTCCACACACACTTGAACATCAACAAATTATACAGGCTAATGCTCATGGACTCAATGATCATGCCAATCAAGTGCGACAACAGTTAACTGAACTGTCGATTGATTATCTTTATGAAGACTGCAAGAAGAAAATAGACGAATGGAAAGATCGAATGCACGCAGAAATCAATATTCGACATACTGAAATGGTTCAGCAACTGACTAAGTTACACAACGAACTCGCAGAAGAAGTAAAAGAATTTAAACAGAAAAAGATTGAATTATTTACGCACGAGATTGTTGAACCACTTACTCATATGCTTACCAAACAAAAACAAATTCATTCGATAGAATTGAACATTTTAGTAACAAAACTGCAATCTTTTGAAGAAAAAATTGCAGATATTAAAAAACCTAATTTAATTCATATGAACTGTGATGAAATAAAATTAAGCGAAGAGGTCAATTTCATACGTCAGCATCCATGCGATGAAATAAGGGCAACATTGGAGAATCGTCCATCATTAGACCTTGAATGTGTGAAGAAGAAAGAGATTCATCGCTTTCTATTGCAAACAAAGGAGCTAGCATTGGCAGCATCAGATGAGTTCATTGTGGCGTTTGAAAAGCCTTCAACATTACTTTTATTTAATAATAAAACTCAACTTCTATCTATTGATATAAACGACAACAATGTATGCGATATTTGTTGGTCTGATACCATGAAACTCTTTCTGATTGCTGGAACAAAACTTCAAACGTATGATATTATTCATAACAAGATAGTCGATACATCTGTTACTATTCCAACAGATGATCCTCAAATATGGTCTGTTACTAGTTGTTTTCATGATGTGCTTTTACTAGACACTACGGGCTTCATTTATCGTTATTCATGGCCTTCATTCACGCTAAAGACAACATGGCCAGAAAATATGTTTCTGGAAGAAGTCAGTGATTCTGGAGTAGGATGCATCCGTCTTAATGACATTGGAATGTTAGCAATGAGTATTAAACAAAAGGATTTACACTGGCGGATAGATTTGTTTGATGCACAGATGCGACGAATCCACCGTGGCGTTTCTCTAGCCAACAATGGAACCGCTAATTTATGGGATTTTCCGTTTATTTCTCTGACTAATAACGAATGGCTGGTGATGGATCTCATCTCTAAGCCTCAAATGTTGACATTGGTCGATAAAGAAGGAAAAATTAAACAACAAATTCAGAAGAAAGGGTCCAACTTGGCACTAATGGGTAACAAATTTCTGGTTTTACGTTATGAGACAGGCTTACTTTTGTACGAACTTTCATAGCAAGCATAATCTAAAGTAAAAATAACCATTAATCAGAATCCAATGAAATTAAAAATGAAATAATAAATAAATCTTTTAATACAAGTTATAGAATACCAAAGCAATAATACGTACGATCCATATAGAATCATATCAATGAGAATATTTTTGATCTAACTATGATTCAAACAGATAAATGAGAAACAAAAGTTATACTAAATAGAACAGGAATTCATGTGAACACTAAAGGGTTACGTTATTGTATTTATTTTAGTTTATCATTCATATGTTCATCCTTTTTCAATTGACAAAAATTCTATTTCCTATAATTCAATTTTCCAAATACAGAAAGGCTACGATAATTTATGAAGAGTGTTCACTTTTCTATCATTATAAAAAAGCAATGTTAAATTTTCGGATATGAACAATTCAAGAACCTATATATATAATGTTCAGTGTCTAGACTTGTCTATAAGCGAAACTTTGGATTAATACTCTGTTATTCAAGGATTACCTAAAAATGAATACAAAACCCAGTTAACCGATCAAAACTCGACACTAAAGACGAACGAAAACAAAGCCTTGTAAGTTTTTATTATTGTCACTGAGACTCGCCTATGAAGTCAACATGATCTCAAACAATGGGCGTCAGTTGAAGTAGTTGTCTTGTAAGTTACAGTATATTTTTCTTCATTTGCGCTTTATTTCAGGTAGCTACTTCAGTTGTAACAGTTACAAGAATAGCAATTGATGTATCGCTTATTATTGCAAGCATGTTGGTATTGGTATCGGCAGTATAATCATTGTCTTGGTTGTTGTTTTCTCTATTGTTCTGTGCTATTTCTATGGCGGTAACATGTGCAAAAGCAAGCCACAACGATCAAATAGAATATTTGTAAAATTTGCATTTCCGAAAGTTCTTAAATCAAATTTACATGATATCACTTTTCCAACTGGTTTTTGGAATAGTCGATATTATTGATATAATGTATGGTATGGTCCTCATCGACTTTTCTCTCATTTAATTCACAATCGATGACAGTAACTGGATCTGGAGAAGATGATATTGAAGGTTTCTATTCACATAGAACTCGTCGAAGTGGTCTCAGAAAAATATATCGATCAGACAAGTTTATTGAATTAACAGATTCTGAACATGAAATTATAATTCAACTTATTTGGAATGCTAAAGAAAAACAATTTAAAGGCCAATGGTATGACGACACGAAATTAAACAAAGTAAAAGGTGCCTTTGAACTAACACATGATGATGAACTAAGCCAATTTGTACTTGAAAAAGTTTGATAAATATATGTTTGTTTTCGAAATGTTTTGTTTATAATTATTACTAAATGAATATAATTGCTTATCGTGTTAAAAAAAGATTTAAATAATTTCTACATTTTTATGTTGTCATTGTATTACTTGGTTATGACCAAAATAGATTTCCTAAATTTGAAACTTATATATAAATAAGTCAAATAATCTTTTAGTGATGCGTTCAACTTAATTGTGTGCCACAATTCTATACATATCTTTAAAATTTCTGTGTCTTCATAAAATTTTTTGTATCGTGATGAATCTGACATTAAATCGCACATGATGATCGTATGCCGATATAATCTATAGCAAAAGATGAGAGCTGAAAATAATTTTTTTACTAGAAGTCAGGGGTTTTGAGTATAATCTTAGGTCAAAACATTGTTTATTGTTTTCAATTATTAATTAGGATGTAAATTGTATTTAAATAATAGAATCTCATAAAATACGACAGACATCAAAATAATTTCATTCTGAGAGATAAAATTGTCGATTTAGTTATTTTTTCCTACAACAATCCAATAGCATAAGAATCATTTTATACGTTTTGTTGTTGTTACACTTTACTATCATCAAGAAAAAAAGTTAGAATCATGTTTTGTTCTCACAGAAGCATAGAAAAATAATACAAAGACAACGCTGGTATGTAGATACAGTGAAACTAACTCTTCTTGATCGAGTGATCGGACAAATACATATTTTGTTTGTATATTTAATAATTTCAAAAATAATTCAAATTCTTTTTTTGATTTTGATATGACTTATATCTATGTAACAAGAGCATTTCAAAAAAACAGAAAATATAGCTCAAATCGATCTAGATATCTAGCTCATGCCATGTCAATATCAGTCTCTAGCAATATAGAAAAATATGAGAAAATAAAGTTGCTTGAGACAATCAAAACTTATTGTTCATTCGTGATTGTCGCAATATCGCAGGACTTGATATACCTATTCTCAATAATTACTTATCGTAATAAATAAATGTTCGTCATCACTGTGATTTTTTATTGATTAAACGTCTATAAAATGAAAAGTTCTACATGAAAAAATATAGTAAGAAAAAAACAAGGTCAACGACGAGAGTTCATATTTCATCAAACAAAAGCTGCATTTTTTCTTAAGAAACAAATTGCATCGGATGGAATAGAAAAAACTAGATATTTTTTCAAAGGAAAAATTTCATTAATCAAAAGTAAACTTATGTGAAAATAATATAATTTCGAAAAGATATTCAGTATTTAAAGAAGAAAAAACTGACTTTTTAATTTTTATAGATTTGAAAACACATAAGAAATATTTAATGTTTGCATTGACTTTTTAATCATTGTTAAATAAATATTTCTACGCATTGTGAAACAATAATCTTTTTGATGTTCTGTCCTGAGTTCTGCAAAATAAGGTAATTGAATGAAAATGTTCCGCAGAGTGTAGGGGCTCAACAAAGAAAATCGTTTCTGTGATGTTTTATGGTGATTATATAATAAACAGTGATTTTATATAATAATAAAAAATAGAGATTAGACGAAAATTGATTTGTATTAGTCGAATATTAACTATTCATCAATGGTTTGTTTTCTTCTCAAATAGTATTTTTAGGATAATGATGAAGTAGTGATTGACTTCTTGTTTCCTTACGAATAGTCATTCGACGATTCATATGAAATTTTGTTGTTTTTATATTAAAAAATAATTTTCATTCTTTTCCATTATTTCAATTTAATTGTAATAATTTATGGCTAATCTCATATGTAACAATACGACATGATATTGAAGAAATTCATTCTTTACCATCAATCAATCGATTGATTCACTTATTGAATAATTTATTAAAATCTTTTTTTTTTATGGTTGTCATTCAATCTATTTTAGATTTAGCATTTATTTATGAATTCAAAACTATTTTAATTCTCGTTTCATTAATTACAAAAAATTGGAATGAATTATATTTGATAAGTTTTTGTCTTTTTTGTTTGTCAATCTAATGAATAATGGAAATGTTTACTAATTTGTTTAGGAATAATCTCGACTAGAAATTAATGTTTTTAATTTAAAAAATAAGTCTTTTTAATCCATCTAAACCACTTCCCCAATGAAAACATGTATATAAAGCCATTGACCATAACATTAAAAGAGCCAAATCAAGAATGAGTACTCCAATAATACGACCTTTGGAACCTGTTCGACGATAACCTTGAGAATAAAGTTCTCGTCCTATTATATAAGCAATGCCACTAAAAAAGGTCCAACGAGTATAAGAAAGACCAGATATTAATAAAGGAATTAGAACAGCAAAGCCTCCCTAAAATTACATTTATATACTTATTTAAATTAAATTAAAATAACAAAGTTAAATACTTCAAGATAGTTCATATGTGCCCGTCGATAATTATTAAGAGCAAACCAATCTTCATCATCTAATTTATCAGCTAATCTTCCTTGTCCATCATCAGGATAACCACCATCTGGTCTCATAACTTTTCCCAATTGTTTATATTGAGGAAATTTCTTTTGATAAAAATCTTTATTAAAAACTCGTTTTCTTATTGCTCCCATCATCATTCCAGTTATCCACATATGAATTGTTATTACAATAGCTTCTAATAAAATCCATGCATATCCTTCTCCAACGACTATTTTCATTTCATTTATTGGAGCCATCTGAAAAGAAAAAATATTTATTTTATATCATTTTCTTAAAAGGAAATTCATTGTTCCGGTTTTTTTTCTTAATCCATAAATTAAATATGTTAATTGAAGTTGACGATTGTAATAGTTTGTTTAATTTCTTAATTATATTCGATCTGACTTTTTCTCATCATAATTAATAAAACAAGGTTTGTATTTAAAACGATCAAAAACTAATCAAAAAATGATTGAAAACAAGAACAACAAGCATATCCGTTTTCAAACAAATGAAAAACCGTTAGAAAAGAAGTTGTCAATGTCTTGAAACAATTATTATTAGTACTAAAATTGCAGCATAATAAATTAATTTAAAAACTTCAAGTTTTTAATCAATTATATTTGATATAGATAAAAGTTGCTTTTTCATTTCATCATGGATCGTTTGAGGACGACGATTTATTCGATCAACAAAAACATGTGTAAAACCACCAACAGCTGAAGCTTTTTCTGCTTGACTATTTTCAAATATTCCAACAGAATAATCCACAGATGACTTGCCTATGCGTTTAACAAATAAACCAGCTGAAATCTTTGATGGATATGATACTGGAGAATAATATTGACAATAAGAAGAAACAACAAAACCTATCAATGGAGATTTTAAAGGTTCAAGTGAACATTTTTCAATTAGATATTTATTAACAATTGAATCAATCCATTCACCATAAACAACATTGTTAACATGACCATAAATATCATTGTCACGCCATCTAATTGTTATTTTTCTTAGTCTTTTTCGTAAATTTTAATTAATTTAACTTACCGTGTTTGAAAATTTACAAAATATTTGTATAATGATCGATCACGAAAATCAGATTTAGATGAATTACTATTCTCTCGTTTAAATAATTTATAATAAGGACGAACTATTCGACACACTGACATCCTCACTAAGGAACACAACAAGCGAGCGAGGGAGTGAGATAAAAAACGACACTTTGTACCTAGATTTTGTAACCAATCAACTATTGCAATTAAATTTATTTATCTGATTAAATTATTTTTATTGTCTCAAATAAAAATATATTCTTTTACAGATTTAATTTCATTCGGAACAAAAAGTGGAATAATTAAATTAGATGATATGTTGTAGAGGTCGCTCTCTTCTATATAAACTACAGTACATGAATTTAAATCGAGCAGAAGTGAAATTAATTCATTAATCATATAATTGAAATAGCTAAGTCGCTTTTTAACCACATCTATTGACTAAATCTACGTGACTGTAAATATGGAAGTATGTATTCGTTTCAACTACAACCATACTTCAATACATATCCACATGCAGACCCTTACTGAATCAGATTGAAACTTATCCAGTAAAATAGAGTCAATTAGTGTGCCTTGCCGAGTTATTGGACAGAGAAGGAAATGAGAGTAATCTGTTTTGATACTATCTTGAATTATTGTCATTCAGAAGTAAAGATAGATGAATAAGTAGTTTTAGCGAGTCAATGAATCTCTTCAAACGTCTCTTTGAGTAATGCTGCCAAATTTTGTGATGTTTAGGTGGAAGTCGTCTATCCTTTGATACAGAAATCGATGATCAGCTGGAGAATTTTCATTATGTCTATAATCGAGATCCAGCTACGTTTCTTATCAAATAACTGCCATAAAGAATTAATTCACTTAAAAAACTTAGGTGACAATTCGAGAGTTTTCGTAACGAGAGAAAACATTGGAATTTTCATGCAACTTTCAAGTATCACATTTTCTCCAAAACCTTTATTTTTCAAGGAAGTCCGAGAATAAAGACCATCGATAACTATGCTGATGTGTTCTCTCCGAAAAGTATTATTTTGGTCAAGGACATCAGCGAGTTGTGGTTTCTCTCTTTCATTTGAATGCAATACAAAATATTGCTTTCGTCAGTTAGAATAATTTTGCAAATCATGACACACATTGAATATCTTAAGTCTGAATCTGAATATTTTCAGCAAGGGTTCATTCTACACCAATGTCTAATCAAGTTTATACTCACTACCAATAGCCCTCAAAAAGTCCTATTGAATGATGGTCTCATTATCAAACAATAAGGCGAACAATTTCAAAAAAGAAGCACTCAACAAATCTCTCAGAATAAAGTATTCTGGATTATCAATTGATTTTGCTCAAAGTCTGAGCTCACATCAGTGCTCTACGCCTATCATACAGCAAAATTTGACGTGCTGTATTGAATGAAATTAGTCTCATTTGATTCCATCAGACTGAGGAAGACATTCCCTTCAAATAGTAGTAGATTGCGTCATAGATATAACAACATTTATTGAACTGAAATCTATCAAGCATGGTGTGATGAATCTGACGATCTGTTTTCTAGGTCACAAACGCATCGGAAAAAAAAGAAAAATATTGAAAACCCAAGAAGTTGACATATATTCAGCCACAGTGTCATAGATACGTATAATATACAGATCAACTGTTTTCTTATAAAAGAAAACAAGATAAAATATTATTATCTCGCAGTCTTTTGATGAACAGCAGTTCTCATTATCCTATGTTGACAGTCGTTTAGTAACAGTTGAGTGCAATAAAGTCAAAAGCAGACCAAACGAATATGTTTTACTGTATAAAATAGTTGAGAAATCTAGAACAAAAGAACAAATGATTGCACTTTCAAATGTACATAGGTTAAATTGTTCTAAAAAAACAAAATGAACTTTGAAAACATAAGAATAAATCAAATATAGAAAGGGGATTAATGTGGGAAAATAGAATAATTAAGTGATCCGCTTAGAAAACAACATAAGAAACTAATTAGTAAGCAATGTGTGCAAAATTAAGCATATCTTTTTCAGTAACAGAGTAAGTTAAAATACAGCTAAATCCGATTGGAACTTTTCTCACTTGTTTCAGTCTCTCATACTGTTCGATTGCTTGCTTGTTTTCTAGTTCGGCTGAACGATATATAATACGATAGTACACAAGAAAATGCAGCGAATTGCATCGAGTTCATAGTTTTCCTCTCTTATCTTCTCATTACCATTATTTTCTATATGTGTGATGTAAATATTTATCGTTGAAAATGTTCCTTAGTCATGACTTTACAACACATAAAAAACAAAGATAAGATAAGAGTAGTTTAACATTGATATAGTTTGCCATGTCACTTGTAATAAACATGGATGGAATCATCAAATTTTACGATTTGGCTCCATCGACTAGTTCAACACATTACTTTTCTCCGAATACTTGGAAGACCCGCATGGGTCTTCTACACAAGGGTGTAGAATTTGAAACTATACCTGCAACTTTGCTTGACTTTCGAAGAGATTTAGCCAGACGTTCAAATCAACCTCATATTTCTGCGCCGGCTATCGAATTGCCTGATGGAACATTCATCTATGATTCATTTCTCATTGCTGAATGGTTAGAAAATACTTATCCTGATGCCCCATCGTTGTTTACCGGTGATGGTAAATTATCATGTGATGCTCGACCAGAGCACATAATTGTCGGTAAGAATTATGCACGTATGATTGATTTGGGTCTCGGAGCTTCTAAACCGGAATGGGCCGTTTGGTTTGATTTATTCTTTCCCCAACTTGATAAGCTAATTGCAGGCGACGAACATCGTGCTTATTTCATATCCGATGCACGACATGGCCCACAAGGGTATCAAAAATTACTCGCGCTCGATCGTCAAGAATTAATTCGTCGTGCTAAAATGAATGTACAGCCTCTAGTACAAGTCTTACGCGAACATCCAAACGAATATTTTCAAGGAACACATCCAGGTCAAGTAGATTATGTTATTTTTGGTCGTTACGCTTACTGTCGTATGCTTGATGCAAAACTAACAAAAGAAATCTGGAATGATCAAGGAGAAGAATTAAACAATTGGATACAAAGGTTGTCTCAAGCTCATGATCGGCATGCTCAACAAATTTTTGACAGTTGTGCTCTTATCGACTGATCATATGCTCTATTATTATAACCATGCCATTAATCATTGACGAATTTTACATATGAATCGAAAGTTGCAAACTGACTAAAAAATTTTTTTTATGATAAATTGTAATTGTGATTTTGTATTAAAGACAATCAACTTCGTTTGATATTGCTTTTATTTGTAGTCATGTTTGTTATCTATGACAAGTGCTCAATCCGAAAAATATATCGTAGTTTTTGCAAAAACAAGAGTAACTCTTGAACGATGACTCTATGGATCCTAATCAGGGTCTGGGTGTGGGTATCTAGTGTAGAATGTGATAGAGTTTTAGGTTTGACTAGATTTCTTAGAGAGTAATGGAATGAATTCTGAAGAAGCAGTTTTTCGACAGTGACCAATGAGTACACCAAAGCTGAGTCAGACTATCCTTGCATCAACTCAGCCAAACTTCTGAATAGTTGAGATTTTGAATTTTTTGATATTGTCGTTTCATTTGCATACATCAAATTACACATCTAAATTTGTATGAGACTCCTCGATTCTCGACTCAACTCAATGGCATCCATATCAAACTTTGAGGTCATATATGATGTGTTAAGGTTTTGAAATAAAATTGTATGCATAAGGTCTCGTAGAAGGACATTCTCTTTTATCTATGTCACTCGGTAATCTCTACTGTCGATTTTCAACAGACTGCTGATGAATTGAAAGTAACACACAAGTAGATGTGATAGATTAATGAAAACAAGAATATATAATTACAATTTATTGATGTTCATACTCTATTGAAACAATGTGGGTCAGATTATTTGATATAATATTTATTTAAAAAAAAAATGAAACATACATAATTGCTAAGAAATAGCACAAGTTGAATTTTTTTGATCGTGAAAAAGTGTCAAATAATCTTGATCACTCCGACTGAATTCAACAGATCGTCTCGATTGTCGCCAATTCAAATCTTGATCTGGTTTCAACTGTACTTTCCAACTTCTATTATCTCGATAGATACCATCTCGATTCCAAAGTCGTGAATCAAAATTAATTGCATCATTTGTATTTACACACCAGACACATATATCAAGCATGTTTATAGTATTATGTCGATTATTTTTCTGCATTGTTTCAAACCATCGGGTCCATTTTCGACCATTCGCCCAACTGGAATCTGAATTAGTCGTAACATTGAGTTTTATTTCATTTAATCGGGGACATTCACATAAAAATTTGATTATAATATCAAAATCGATATCAATGAATGGTGTTACGATGATTTTATTTAGACAGTTTGTATTGATCCGATCAACATCTTTTATAAATTTAAAAAAAAGATCAGCATGGCATAGTTCAATAGTTTTTAATTGATCGTTGTCAGCGAGATACGGCAAAACATGATCAATGGTGAATGCAACTTCGTGCCATTTTATATCACGTGTTAGATGTATGTGATGTACCGCTTTGGTCAAAAAAAATTGTACAAGTTTGTTAAAGCGTTGGTTTAACATAAGAAATGCATAGTTTAAATCGATTAGTGACAAGTAGGAAAATATTTCATGTATAAAAAGTTCATTCGGGAAAGACTCAAACTGCAATATCATACTAGAGCCTTAAGTGTGTGTGTGCATAGAGAACGAAAATTGTCAAATGATACTGATAAGAGGAAAAAGGAGCAACAAACACCATGATTCATACTCCACATCTTGTGATATTATTCATTCAATCTACAATATTCAGAGCAATAAAAAAAATATTTATTTCTAGAAAATTATTACTATTAGAATGCACATATTAACTCACTTGTCATAGAAACAATATCCGCAGTAAAATATATTCATGAGAAAATTACGATTATTTCTGATTATCGGTATCGGAAGTCTTATTTTTTGAATGTCTCTCTCATTTTTCGAAGAAAATTCGATTAAAATTTATAAATCAAGTGAACAAAAATACTCTACTTTACCGATTATTCTTGATTATCTTGCCTGTGCTCCAAATTTACATCAACGATTGAATTGATCCCTTTTTCATTGATTCGTTACGATTATCTCGATTGTGATCGGGTTTAATCGACAATCGATTCTAAACTTTGTAATAGAATAAAATCACAATCAATGAAAATCCTATTCAGAGGATTTTCATTTGTTTATCAATGATTATTAGTGTAATGATTTGATTTGAATCGTTAATCGGTTCTAATTTTTTTAACCGATTTTCAAGGTGTTGGAGAATATTAGTAAGGTCTATACAAAATCAAATGTTTTTGGGCTGATACGAGGCATTTTTGCTGGATTATTACTTTTTATTATGAATACGGTAGATAAAAATATCATGTAATATTTGTCAACACAGAAGCTTTAGAACAATATTAGTGCTTTTTCCAAAAGTATTACTATATTAAAAAAAGCATTATATGGAATAAAGTGAAAATATGCGTACAATTGATTAAAATCGATTAAAATATTTCAATTCATTTAAATCGGTTTGTTTAATTTTTAATGAGTTTCTGATGTAAGTGCGCTATATCCATGTGAAATATATATGTAGTAGTTCTGAATTTACTTCATTTGCTAGAGTTGAGTTTGGTGACTACTTCATGATTTCTAATTACGAACAATCATGAAAAATTGGGGTAATGCCTTTGGACCTCGAGAAAAGTGTTCATGTTCGATCTGTACGATTCAAAATCGATTAATAATTACATGTTATAATTAATTAAGAAGTCATAATAGATTAAAATTGACTAACAGGTAATAATAAGTTGATATAAATCACTGTGTAATAATAGATCTGAACAAATTAACGCGTAATAATAATAGATTGAAGAAGACTAACAGACAATAACCCAATGGAAAATTCGAGCGATTAAAAACGATTAAAATTTTCAAACCCTATGGGAATAATCGTAATCCATAATCGGATTTTTTTAAAATAAAATCAAAATTTTAATCGATTAGAATCTAAATTATAATCACTATCAATTGATTATTAGAACCTTCCAATCAATTCATATCGATTATAATTTTGATTAGAGTGTGGGTATAGATTGGATTGTGGTGGGTCCTCTCTTCATCGACATCCACATTCCCACCGTCTTATGTGAGACGAGTTGGAGCTAAGTGCTGTTTTCAGCTAAAAGGGTCCAGCTTACAAATTTTGCAATTTATTGTACATTTTTAGCTGACACTAAAGAGTTACGAGCATAATACAGATCAAACGATTCTTCATGATTATTCCATCTTCAATGCGACTTATAATTTTAAAAATTTTATAGAAATCTATTTTCAGAAGGATGACCAGTTTTCTTCATAGGATCGCCCCTCAACGCTTCACATAGTATTTGTAGCTAAAAATCAACATATTCTATACTCTCATCCTTTAAATGAAGAAAGAACAAGAAAAAATTCAAACAAAGAATAAGTAAACAGAAATTTCATAAAAGCATATATGTGTTTTGTTTATATTAAAGAAAGCTTCTATTTTCATCGAAATGAAAATGACTATGAGCTTATAAATAAAATTGTCAGCGACCAAGACATCTTATACATAGCAACAGAGTTACTGTTTGGCTTCTCAGTTTGGTTTTGTTGGTGGCAAAGCCTGCAAGGAAAAAGAAGAAAAGAGTGTGGGTGCGGATGTGTCAAGAGAAAACCCAAACCTACACCAACATCCTCTCACACGTCTATATCCATTCCGCACCATGTCTACACTAACACAACCACTAGGAGCCATGTGCGTACCCACCCCATGACCACGGTCATACTAAGACATCCTTTAATTGTAATCTGATTTCGGGCTGTAGAATCCATCACTATTCGAATAATATAGTTTTTTTATGATCTAATTTTTATTAAGATAATAGTAGTTCTTGTATGAAACGACCTATAATTAAATGCTTATATCATCTAAAAATTAAAGAACTTGTCACTTTGGCAACGTATGGTACATATTTAGCTAACACTAAGCAGTTATGGACATTATATAAATTAAATGATTTTCTATGATTATTTTATCTCAAAGGCGATTTATAATTTCGACAATTTCATATGAATTTATCTTTAAAGAAGTAGCCAGTTTTTTTTCATAGGATCATCAGTCAACCCTTCACATAATATTTCTAGCGAAAAGTCAACACATTAAATACTCTTATCCTCTAAATGAAGAAAGAACAAAAAAAAAACGGGTTCCATGAATTTCGGCCCACGAAATTTTCGGCCCGGACTTTCGGCCCGGTCCGAAATTCCGATGATTTTTCGGGCCGGGCCGAAAGTCCACAAGGAATTTCGGCCCATGATCTCATTGATCCTAAAATAAAAAACCTAATTTTTCAAAATTAGTTGCTAGACAACGTAGTGCTGAGCAGGACGTCATAGTGCTCAGCGATATGACGTAGCGCTGAGCAGTATGATGTAGTGCTCAGCAGGATGTCATAGTGCTCAGCGATATGTCGTAGTGCTGAGCAGTATGGCATGGTGCTGAGCAAGACGTCATAGGGCTGAGCGGTATGGCATAGTGCTGAGTAATATGACGTAGAGCTGAGCAGAGGGTATGGGGTGTGGATGTCTCTTCCTTCAACATCCACACTACCCCACATTTCACTCACACTCACACCCACACCTACGCCATAATGCTGAAGATTGTGACGTCCTGCTCAGCACTGCACCATACCATTCAGCGCTATGACGGTCTGTTCAGCACTACGCCATACCGCTAAGCGCTATGACGTAGTGCTGAGCAAAACGTGATAGTGCTAAGCAGTATGGCACAGTGCTGAGCAGAACGTCATAGTGCTCAGCGCTACTTCATATCGCTGAGCACTATGACGTCCTGCTCAGCACTACGATGTCTAGCAACTAATTTTAAAAAATTAGGTTTTTATTTTAGCGTCAATGAGGTCATGAGCCGAAATTCCTTGTGGACTTTCGGCTCGGCCCAAAAAATCACCGGAATTTCGAACCGGGCCGAAAGTCCGGGCCGAAAATTTCGTGGGCCGAAATTCTGGTCTCCCAAAAAAACATTCAAGCAAA